CTGTGTTGATTTGCAAATAAACAAGCCAATACCAAAGGAAAAAAAAGGTATAAAAAAAGAAAGAACCCAGAGCATGTACGTTAACCGGAAAATAATCGTCCAGCATACGGGTTCAAGGCCCAAAGAAAAAAAACCCGATGCGAGTACACAAAATAACTAAATAAAGTGCTCAATACAATGAGTAGATCAGACCTAGTTAAACCTAGAGAGCTAGACAAGCCTACCAAGGTTTAACCTAAACGGATCGTCAGGATGAGCCGGCTTTCCTTGACGATCCGTTTAGGTGAAACCTTGGTAGGTTTGTCTGGCTCTCTAGGTTTATATATATATATATATATATATATATATATATATATATAGAGAGAGAGAGAGAGAGAGAGAGACAGACAGACAGACAGACAGACAGACAGGGTAGAAAAGGCGAGAGAGAAGGAAACAGAGAAAGAGGGTGAGAGAAAGATAGTGAAAGAGAGAGGGCGATAGATATGAACAAACTGAAATAGTTATAGATACGGATAAACTGAGATAGATAAGCATATACTTAGATAAGAGTAGACTGAGATAGTCGAATAGATAGCTAGATAAATAAATAGTTAAAAAGGCATTGCAAAATATGAATATCAAGAGAGGGAAAGATAGAAATATAAAAAATTGATCATAGAAACGCGCCGTTGACTGAAAACTTCATTAATAATATACTTTTACTGTCGCGGTGTAACTATTCTAAAACTGATAACTCGAAAGAAATGATTGGCGGTCAAAAAATATGAACAGACATTGACAGTAAATAGATAAGTCTGAACGGACTACGATACATTGGCCTCTTACACTTGTGAAGATTAATTGATGCATAAGAATAGATTTAAATCTGAAGAAGAGATGATAGATTTCCATGTAGGAACATTGAGGGAGACTTATTGGCACTCAATGTGAAAAAATGAGTAGAACTTAATTTTAATAAGATAAATTATTCGATAAATTGATTAATTTCTATAAATAATTTCATGTTAACTGTTCGTATGAGATCTTCGCTATGGTAACTAGAATTTATGACTATAAACGCAATAGTAGATTGGCAACAAGGTCTCGCCATTTTACAGTTGAATTATCTAGATGTAACCGTAAGTTCTATGCTAACAGTTTCTTTTCTCGCAAATTGTGGAACTCTTTTCCGTATCCATGCTTTCCAGCCAACTTTGATCTCTAAAAATGTAAATGCAATGTCAATCGTTATCTACTGTCTTCTTGATTACTCTTCTATTGTTCTCGCTCCATAATAACGTTTCGCTTTTTTTTCTTATTCTTTCATTGTCAATAATCTCTTGTGTCTTAGTGGCTTTATTGCCTTGCTTGGGGTGAAATGGTAAAAAATATTACTAGATTTTTCTACATATTACACTGGATATAAACGTCATCAAAGTCATTAGCACAACGTTTCGGTCGTTACATCAATCTTCCTTTCTCAGGTATGTGCTGTATTTGTGATTCTTACAATTCGTCAACTTCTATGTGCAACATCCCTTCAGGACGTTTTTTTAATTGTTGATTGATTTGTTTTTTTCTATGGATTTTTTTTTCTATGGATTTGTTTTTTTCTATGGATTTGTTTTATTTTATGGATTATCATCCTTTTGCAGGTTACTGAAATCCAGAAAATATTTTTATATTGTAAAAGTTTTCTGGATATAAGAATGATTTACTGTTACAAGTCTTACTAATTAACCCATAGCTAGGGGAGAAGAGGTAGGTTCATACCTTTCCCAAGAGTATTTGCGATTAAGCTAATATAACAATCTCGACCAGAATTTGAACTCGACTCTCCGATTTACAATTCTGAATCGTTAACCATTACCCTATTCTCACATCCAAGCTTACAGCAGCTGGTATTCACAAGAGGTAATTGTGGTATTGACTTGACCCAACGAATAAAATCTAACTATAAGATGAAAGCGAATTTATACATTTTTTTCTTCTTGAGAATTTATAACAAAAATATTAAACTTAAAATATTAAATTTATTTATTAGATTGTTTATTTACAAGTTTAATTTTATATTTACATTATTCTAAAAATTAATACAACGAAAACTAATGTGTTATATAGGAATAAAGTGTCACTGCCGACACTTGAGTTTGAACATAGATCGCCAGTGAGCAAACACAGGCAATCCCATTATTGAATTAAGTAGACCACGTGACCATAGAGGAAACGCATATATGGAACTCCTACAGAAGGTTGGTAGTTTGATTTTGTTTAGCAACATATCAACCCGTGTGGGTTATTTAATGCCAAAATCTAAATATTTTGAATACAATTTTTTATACAGGAATAAAGTGTCACTGCCGATACTTGAGTTTGAACATAGATCGCCAGTGAGCAAACACAGGCGATACCATTATTGAATTAAGTGGATCATGTAACCATAGAGGAAACGCATATATGTGAAATCACGTGACGTCTGAATGATCATTTTTTATCTATCTTCTATTACTATTCGGATCACTATATTCTAGTCTATCCTCTATACTATTCGGATCTGCTTTTCTAGTCTATACTGATCATTACACGGATCACTATTCCTCCTCTAGACTCTGTTACTATACGGTTCGTTCTTCTCTTCTCTATGCTCTACACTGATTACTATTCGGTAGTTACTATTCGAGCGAGTATTATAGAGCAAGTACTATTAGTGCAAGTGATATTCGAAGGCGTCTGTCACCAGCATTGTTCAACGGCGTTACTATAAGCTGTATCTGTGATTACAAAGTCTCTACTACAACGAACATTACAAAAGTGACAACGAGTGTTCAAAAGACCGGTGAGGAGTGTGAACCGGTCACTGCTACTATTAATCTACTCTACTAATCCGCTCCTAGTAAATTGAAAGTACTGTGTTCCAGTTGACAAGATAAAAATTGAAGGAGTACACTCCAGATGAAAGAATACAATTGGAAGTCATGTGTTCCAGTTGATAAGATTTTCCAGATGAAAACATGAATATTGGAGTGCGATGTTCTAGCATACAAGATGAAAAGGCGGAAAAGAAGTCGTAAATTAATAACCACCGTTAATCAGGTGTTAATTATTAAAAGAAGATTCTGTTATTGCTATAGTTAAACTTAAATTTTGATGATCAAAAAAAAAAAAATGAGTAAAAAAGAATATTCTTTTTATGATTTATTTATTAACACAAACAAAGCAATTTATTATCATTTGTAATAAAAAGGTAATAATTAAAATTCTTAAGAAAACAATTACATTTATTAATTTTTCTGTTTATTATAATTTACCATTTAATAAGGTATCTGAACGTGACATTTTCTTAGAATATCTTATTTGCAAGGTCGAATTTTGGACAGACATAATCTTAAATCTTCTTCCAAGGATTCTGGCTGCCATCGATTTTTGTTTTTAATATTGCTTATTTCAGAAAATCTTTTTTCGCACAAATATGACGTCGAGAACGGAATAAGTATTTCCATTGCTTTTTTGGAATATTTGGAAATATTAAAGGATAACCAAAATGATGCAAAATCTGTTGCTGAATATTTTAATTGCAATCAGCTGTGATTTCTTATTGCTGTTAACTCTTTCCTTTCTGTAATATTTAAATGTGCTGGCGTAGATGCACGTAAAACAAAAGGATTCCTCACCAAATCCAGAAATCTTATGTCAAGTGTAGGCGCAAGAAATCTTTTTCAAAATTTGTATACAACAAATTTAAAGTTATTTATATCAGAGGTCCACAACACCCCTGGCCGCGAACCATTTGCTACCGAGCCGCAAAGAAATAATTAACTTGTCTGAAATTATATAACAGATAAATTGAACATTGTACTTTAATTTAAAAAGATTTGTTTAAATATTTAGTATTCTTCTATTCGGTGCTATCATAACGGTAGAGTAATGGATAGCAGATCGCATTGAGGATTCGGAGAGCCGAGTTCGAATTCCAGTCGAATCCATTACATTCACTTACGTGCTAATACCCTTGGGAAAAGTATGAATCCTCTTCTTCTCCCCCAAATATGGATAGACCGGGTTCTATAGCCTTGGATGGCAACCTACTACGGGGAAAAATCAGCCTCGTCAGTCATGCATCGAAAGTTACATGATCGCTTAATTAATGGCGCATAACTGTAGTACATTTTATAATTAATGTATATCTTACGTCTTTCTTTACTATCTATCTTAGCTGCAAGTACATTTTATAATTAACTAGAAGCATGGCCCGGCGTTGCCCGTGCTTGATTCAAAAATCGTACGACTCATACAGCACTGCACGCACTAACCTGTTTCTTCCCGCGCATAGCGTGACATTAAATTAATCTGCATTTAGGAAATACCCAACCGGAAAAACATTTTTAAGGGTTGACCGATTGTCCATTTTCACTCTGTTTGGGGGGTGGGAGCTCAGAATTGAAACTTCACATGGTGACTCCCAATGGCCTCCTCATAAATCCGATCGGTTTTCGCTAAAAACCGACACGCGGTTCAGGTGCAATCTGGGCGTTTCGGCTTTTGGGTTTTTTCGATTATCCGCGCTGTTTCGGGGTCCGTGGTCATGAAACTTCGGGACAACACTTTTAATGGTAGACTCTAAAAGGGTGTCAAATTTAGTTGAAATGCAATAATTCCTTCTGTAAGCAGATTTTTTTCGATTATCGATTTTTTTCGATTATCGATTTTTTTCGATTATCGATTTTTTCGGAACCTGAGTCCGAACTGAAAAATCGGGCTGCGTCATGTCCTTAAGGCAGCCATTTGCAAACTTGTGGTGAAAACCGCATCGAAATCGGGTGAGAAATGCGGCCTGGGCGAGGTAACAACGCCCACGACAGAGACACAGACAGACAACATGAGAAATATAGATAGTAGATAGATGTGTATTTTTTATTTATTTGTAATAATTTTCTATTAATCTTCTAATCCCAACTAGTTTTCATATTTTAAAGAATTTCGGTACAATGATCCAAAGGTAAATGTCACGGAATAATTACTTTGAAAATGGAGAAAGACACAGGAAGGGTCGCAGAGTGCAAATGAAAAGAAAGCTCGATTTAAAAGAAAATACCGAGTCCTTCATAAAATACGGGTTCACCACAACAGGTGATTCATACGCTTCACATAGGCTCCGTATAATTTGTAGTGACCGACTAGTTAATGAAGCCATGAAACCTTCAGAATTACTTCGCCACATGGAGAGCAAGCACCCTGCATTAAAAAACAAGCCCCTGGATTGTTTTTAAAAACAAAACAAAAAACGTGAACATGAAGTACTGATGTAATGGAATAACCAGACACCCCCATAAATGATTACACTATAGGTAGTAAGTACCTATAAAGTCAACTGTCTACGTGAGACTCAAGGGAGAGTGAGAGAGTAACGACGCACGCACGTCCGACTTTCCAATTAGTGGCACTCACTACTAGGTTGACCTGTGTGTAGAACTGTACCGTATTTCATATTGTACTGGCTGTGTACAATAAACCTTTCTTCTATTATCCGCCTGGTGTTATGTGTTTACTAGCAGAATGGCTCGGCGTTGCCCGTGCTTGATTCAAAAATCGTACGACTCATACAGCAATCGCTATCACTTGACTTAAAATATTTTTGCCCTTCCTTACCTTTAAAGGAGTGCCCTTTGCCGTGCTGATGTTGCTATATGCCTTACTTCTTGCCTATCTCACACTGCGAATTTTTTCTAAGCTCTATACTAAACATTAAATCTGTTACGAAAAAAGAACTAAACAAAATAAATACAAAACGATCAGCTTTAAAAAAAAGGACTCGTAGCTAGAAAAACCAAATGAAAAAAGAATGTTAACAACAAATACTTTTTCACACCCAACCCAGTTCTGCGGAATCAAAATCAACGTTGAGTTTAAGCAAGCGAATGAGCCAATTGGAGTAAAGTGCCATGCAGATTTAAATGTTTCTCACTTGTGACAAATGCAGCTTTCGATTTTTTTTTTGCATGCTAGTTAACATTCGTGTCAGTTATCTGTTGGCTCTCACGCTGGCCAATAGAATCTTCCTGCCTATTCGCGGCAGACAGCTATAGACTCTCATTCTGGCCAGTAGAAAATGGCCGCAAACTACATGAAAACTGGCGTAGAAGCATGAAAAAATCGATTATTTCCACGATCGATGGGAGTTGGGAAATGCAAAGTCGGTCTTGGCCTTCCCGCTAACTTGGAGCATGTGCATGTAAATTTTGGTGCAAATCCGTCGAAAATTGCGACCGTGCATTCGTCACACACACACACACACACACACACACACACACACACACACACACACACACACATCCTGCCTTTATATAGATAAAGATTCCCTTAGCACGGAATATAACAAGTACAGAAACAATTACTGATGACCACCACTTCAACAAATATGTCTGCATTTGCTAAAGCCCCCCCCCAAAAAAAAACCTTCACTATTACTGAAGAGTTCATTTTGCCTACTACTAAGGACATTTGTAGTGAACTTTTCAGAGAGGAAGCAGCTAAAATGGTTGCAAACGTTCTTCTTTCGGTCTGCACTATAACAAGGCGAGAATTAATGAAGTAGCTAAGATTTCGAGGAAGAGTTGTTAGAGAAGATGCCGTGGTATATAATTCAGGTAGACGAATCTACTCGTATTGACAACAAGGCAATATTTATTGTATTCTGCAGCCTATAAAAGGCAAACTCCATCCTAAATTTAAGTTTCAAAATCATAATATCGCTCGTTTTTTTGTGCGATATATTTTTCAGGAAGATGTGCACGAAGATTTGTTATATGCACTGGTTTTGCCGACTAACACCACAGCTGCAGAACTATTCAAATCCTTGAACGATTACATATCAGGAAGACTCAGTCGGTCGTTTTGTGTCGATGTCTGCACAGACGGAGCAGCTGCGATTACTGGACGGCTTTCTGGTCTTACAACACGGATCAAGGAAGTTGCTTCCGAATATGAGTCTATGCACTGTGTCATTTATAGAGAAATACTGGTAAGTCAAAAAAAATGTCACTTACTTGGACCTACGTACATACGTAGGCAAAGTAATTTTGGCAAACATTGACCTTCGTGCCCGCAATAAAACGAAGTGTCAAAAGGACGGTTTTTCCCATGACACCGCTTTTATTTTATCTACCTTCACCCCCTCGGTAATGTTTATTATTTTAAAAGGCGATGATTAGAATTGTAATAAAACCTAAACCTATGAAAGTGAATTTATACATTTTCTTTGTTTTCTAAATTGACAATAAAAATAATAAACCCTATTTATTTATTAGACTGTTTATTTACACTGTTTATTATATTATTTACAGTGTAACCCGGATATAAGAGAAACTCGGATATAAGAGACCCGGATATAAGAAAAACTCGGATATAAGAGTGATTTTCTCTGGTCCCAAATTAGAGCCTGTGTTAATGTATGTAAATTAGACCAAACCCGGATATAAGAGAAACCCGGATATAAGAGACTTACCGGTCCCGACAACTCTCTTACATCCGGGTTACACTGTATTTGAATAGTTGGCAAAATATTGGATAATTAAAAATTGATTAAAACTTTATATAATTGTAAATAATTAGGATTTCCTTGTAGGTGGTTGACATATTTTTGTAACTTAGTAAATGTTTATAAATTAATGAATAAATATTATTTTCCTCTTTATGTCTTTATAAATTGGTAAACAATAAATATTGTATTACGTTAGTATAAATATAATTGTGTTAGTTTTTAGAACGTTTTAAATATAAAATTATTCTTGTAAATAAACAATCCAATAAATAAATTGTTTTTAATATTTTTTCGAATATTCTCAAGAACAAAAAAATGTATAAATTCATTTTCATCATCCAGACTAACAGCATTTGGCATTCCGAGCGTTCACCTATCTAGGTAGTGACCAGGCTTAACCCCAGTGATAGTATAGGAACCGATGTTTCAATACTATATGGTCGTAAGCCTCTAATTTATTTATATAGCCGATTCACCAGGAAAATAAGTCAATGCAACTAAGAGTAGTGTGATCTCGATGTTATGTTATTTTATTAAAGTTTGATAAGAATACGAAACTAAATATTTTATATTTTCCTTCGTCAAATACATACCCTAAAGTGATCCTTATATAATGTTATATCTTTAACGTCTTATAAGAATACGAAACTAAATATATTCTTTCTTTCCTCAAATGCATACCATAAAGTGATCTTTATGTAGTGTTAACTTATTAACATCTGATAAGAATGCGAAACTAAATTTTATATTCTTTATTTCCTAAAATACATACCTTAAAATGATCCTTATGTGATTTTATCTTATTAACATCTGATAAGAATACGAGACTAAAATTTGTCATGCATAAAATAATTGTTTATTTATTTCTGAACTCCGTCGGTCGAATCTAGTTGTATGTAGTTTCCGGCCTTTCTTTGTAGTTCGATCTTCCAAGAATGCGTAGAATTCTGCCTTCTCCACTTCTAAGTCGGGTCATCCAGTTGTCTTGTGTCTTGTGTGTGTAACTCTTAAATCCAGCAAAGTTATGTTGGTGAACCACATCAACATCCTCTGAGAGCCGACGCAGCACTTGGTAGCTTTGGGGTTACTTTCTCTAGGTCTTTTGGCATTGTTAGGTGACACCGAGTACAAAAGTTACGTTTGTTATCTTTTAGAGCGAACCCATTACATATTGGGGTTTCCCAAGATAAAGATTTCTGAGATGGACATTCAATTAAAATAGTGCGAGATAATTTTTCTTTCCGGAATCTATCTTAGAACGAATGGTAGACTTATAGATAATCTACAATTCGTCCATGTTTAGAGTATTGATGAGGTACCTCTGCTATTTGCCTTGAGCTCCTTGATAAAATCCGAAGAAGAATCAGCAATATTATTGGTTCTGATCTGGCATCTCGGTTCCAGTCACTTTCCCATCACCATAAGGTTGCTTTTCTATGTTTTTTCTATAAATACTTTCATGGTAATTGTTCTGATGAGCTCTTCGTTGTGGTACCCTAGACTTTATGAATTTAAGCGCAGTACTAGACTGGCGGCGAGATCTCATCAATTTACAGTCGAGCTGGCAAGATGCAGCCGCAAGTTCTATGCTAATAGTTTCTTTTTTCGCACTTCTCGCTTGTGGAACTCACTTTCGGCTCCATGCTTTCCAGTCAACTTTAATCAGCAAAAATTTGAATGCAATGTCAGTCGCTATCTACTGTCCTCCTGATTACTCTTTCCTCTTCCCGCTCATTATTAATGTTTCTGTTTCTAATTCTGCCACATCCTGTAACCCCTTGTGTCTTAGTGGCTTTATTGCTTTGCATGGAGTGATGCCGATTGAAAAAAATCGATTCATACTTTGGGTGTTTCCTGGAGTTAATCACATATTACAGTAAGGAAAATTGTGTACCACTATTCCACTTCTTATAACAGATGAGGCGGGCTACTATTCGTATAGCGCTAAAAACACTCCACAGACTGACAATGATCATTCACGGTTATTGGGAATAATATACATATGATTTATCACTAAATATGTAATATCGACAACAATTGTAATGTGGTCGGGTTAATTTATCGATAGAGCTATATCAACTGATGTGACAGCTTACTAAATTTGACTTAGTTGGAGCACCCAAAGCGGTCGAGTTCGAAAAGAAAAACAAGTCGTTTATAGCCATATCAGCATAGTCACTTTCAGATACGCAAAGCATTAAGAGAAATCTTTAAAATTAAGAATTATGAATTTCTTAGCTTCTGATAAGGTATGTCCATATAAAACAGAGATATCTAAAATAAACGGATATAAAATATCTATCTATCTATCTATCTATCTATCTATCTATCTATCTATCTATCTATCTATCTATCTGTTTGTCTGTGTGAGCATCGTAAGTGCTACCTATCTATCTATCTATCTATCTATCTATCTATCTATCTATCTATCTATCTAAGTGCAGTTGGTTTGGTCACATGTTGGAGAAAGTCACTGACAGTCTATGAGACGAAAATCTGCATTAGATGGCTATGCACCCTCAACTTCCTTGCCAAACCGCTGATTCACCTGACTTCTCTGATGTTTTGAGGTGACGATGGCTGTAGAAAACTTATTTTGTTATCACCGGAAGTAAATCTAGGATAAATTTACGAAAGATAAACCTCTCTCAGAACAAAGGCTCTTTATATACATTATTCAATTCAAACCATCTGCTATTTCCTGGCATGAATCACATACTACACTTACATTAAACACTCTCTATATTCACATTACTATTTTTAGAAGCAAGAATTAATTGTCTGTTATGTTTCGGGTCACCACAGATCAACTCCTCTTAGAACAAATATTTCTTATTGACATTAAATTTAATTCAGATCGTCATTACATTACTATTTTTAGAAACAAGAATTAATTGTCTATTATGGTTGGCCCATTATATATTGTGATCACCACAGATCAACTTCGCTTAGAACAAATGTTCTTTTTTTACATTAAATTTGATTCAGGTCATCTGGTATTCCCTGGCGTGAATCACATATTTGTGTATTCATGCCTATTTGTTGCCAGATTTCCGACATTCTCCTGTAGTGAATGTGGAAATCATGCTTCTCTTGCATAGCCAACACTAACCACATTCGATTTCCTTTCCTTATTGATTTTCAATGCATTTCTATAGGAAATATAGAAGATTTACTAGTAAAATAATTCAATACACCCCGTCGACATCCTTTGTGGGCCTAGGCTACTTTTGGTGGTGGCCCTGAGGTAACCTTCTAGGTAAACTACATCCGATATCAAGGCCACTAAACAGGAGGTTTTGAAAAGCGTGGAACCACCTCTTAATTGTTGGTGTTCCCAGATCCACCCTAACCCGGGGTGGTAGGACCTTTTAGGGTCCCAGCTATGGGCAAGTAGTTAACCACAAACAGTGGTCAAAACACTATGAAGGTGTAAAATAGGTTTTAGTACCAGAAATACATTTTTGTAAAAAAATATTATTAGAAATAAATTTTTAAGAAAAAATTATTCCCAGCAATACATTTTTGAAAAACAAAATACCAGCAATACATTTTTGAAAAACTATTATTAGCAGAAATAAATTAAAAAAAAAAAATATTACCAGCAATAAGTTATTGAAAAAAATATTACAAGCAATAAATTTTTGAATAAAATTATTTCCAGCAATACATTTTTGAAAAAAAATATTACCAGTAATACATTTTTTAAAACAAATTATTACCAGAAATACATTTTTGAAAAAAAAAAAAAATATTACCAACAATAGATTTTTGAAAAAAAATATTACTACTAATACATTTTTGAAAAAAAATTATTACCAGCAATACATTTTTGAAAAATAAAAATTATTACCAGCAATACATTTTTGAAATATAAAAAAATTTATCAACAATACATTTTTGAAAAAAAAATTATTACCAGCAATACATTTTAAAAAAAAAATATTACCAGTAATACATTTTTTAAAACAAATTATTACCAGAAATACATTTTTGAAAAAAAAAATTATTACCAGCAATAGATTTTTGAAAAAAATATTACTAGTAATACATTTTTGAAAAAAAATTATTACCAGCAATACATTTTTGAAAAATAAAAATTATTACCAACAATAAATTTTTGAAAAAAAAAAAAATTATTACCAGCAATACATTTTTGAAAAAAAATTATTATCAGCAATACATTTTTGAAAAAAATTATTACCAGGAATACATTTTTGAAAAATAAAAATTATTATCAGCAATACATTTCTGAAAAAAAAAACAATATTACCAGCAATATACTTTTGAAAAAATAAATATTGCCAGCTACACGCTTTTGAAAAAATATTATTAGCAGCAATACATTTTCGAAAAAAAATTATTACCAGCAATACATTTTTGAATAAAATTATTACCAGCAATACATTTTTGAAAAAAAATATTACCAGCAATACATTTTTGAAAAAATTATTACCAGCAATAC